CCACTTGTTGGCCTTGGAGGGGAATTTTAAAGGAAGACTCTATGGAGAAATCCTGAAAATCCAGCCCTGGGTAAGCAGAAGCATAAGATTTCAGAGACCAGAGACAGTATGGTATGATGGAGAGGTGCTGAGCCTGGAGCCAGAAAGACCTGGGTGAGGCAGCTGAGTGGTGCAGTGGATAGAGAGACTGGACTTAAGGAAGACCCAAGTTCAAATCCTCCCTCAGACACTTCCTACTGCTGCCACCCTGGGCAAGTCACTTACCTTTGCCCAGACTCAGCTTCCTCAACTGTAAAATGGGAATAATAAAAGGGCCTACCTACCAGGGTTGTTGTGAGAACCAAATGAGATAATATTTATAAAGTGCTTTGCAAGCCTTAGAATGCTATGAAAAGCTTCCTTTTACATTGTGTGAAACAGAGGGCAAATCACTTAACATCTCTGAGCTTTAGTTTCTATCTTTATATAATAAGGGGATTGGATGAGGTAGCCTCAGAGCCCTGCTCCAAATCTAGAACGATGATGCTATGATCCACATCACTTCATCTCCCCAGGCCTCAGTTTCCTCATCTAGTGATGGCTCCAAGGTCCCTTCCAATTCTAAAGGATCTATATATATTATGTATCCATACAGATGTGTGTGTGTGTATACACTAATGTATGTGTACACACACACACACACACACACACACACACACACACACACCACAAGGGGAACATTTCCCCGCAAGCCTTCACGACTGTATTTTCTTTTATTCAGGCCACTGGAGAGAACAGTCATGTAGCATATGCTTCCCCTTTTCCGGCACCCCTTCTCCTTTCCCTCTCTGGCAGGATTTTCAGCTCTCTCTCTCCAATCCCTCTTCTCTGTTTTCCTTATGGAACATAGCCCTGTAGAGACTCCACAATGACCCAGAACATAGCACTCAGGCTGAGGGCTGAAGGCCCTTCTAGGAGCTGCCAAGACTCCATTACTGCAGGATTCCTGGCCTGGAGAAAGGGATTGAATTAAGCCCTTCCCCTCCAATGGAGATTGGGCTGAAAATCTTCAGGTGCTCAGTCCCTGCAAGGAAGCCAGCTGATTCCCTCGAGAATCTTCATCTCTCTCCCCTCAGAGGAGTGTTCAGCTCTATAGCTACGGTCTTATGAGCCCAACATCCCTGCACCAAATGGAAAAAGCTCTTTTGAGCAGCTCTCCTCCCAACCTCTTCCCTTCTCTCTCTGGGTTAAGTTTTTCATTTTTAAGGGCGCCCAGTCATGATCAACCCAAAGAGAGGCCAGGATGGCTCCCAGCACAAATAGGTGCTTAATTAATGCCTGATTGATAGTGTATGCTCCCCCTTGGCCTGCCTAAAGAAGCCCTGGAGACTCAGGCCCCACCAACTGTTTGACAGTCCCAAGGCTCACTGACTCCTTCATCCCCAAAGGATGGGGGTCCATTCATGCTGCCATGTCAGACCATCTGGCTGTGGAAACCAAGGCATCTTGCAGGATGGCAGGCCTTAATCTAGCTGCTCACTGAATTATTCAGAGATGGCATTAACTTATAAATGAGTGTGTTTGACTGATTTTGTGGTTGGTGGACAGATAAATCCTAATGAAAGACAGCTACAAGATTTTAAATTATTAATTAGGCTACCACTTAACAAAGCCTATTTGGCACTCTATTTCCTTGCTTAACAAGACAAAAAACTTTAGGGAAAGGCTCTAAATGAGCCTAGAGGCTGTTGATTTGCATTCTGTTTTTCAGAGCTCTAAAAATGAAATCCATAGCTCCTGACTTTAAACAGGCTCCCTTTGGTGGCACAGAACCCTGGACCATCCTCTCCTTCCTTCCTGAAGGTTGCTGGGTGACTTCCCTGTCTTCGCCTCTCCCTTATTCCCATCTCTGACCAGATCATTGCTTTTTATATCCCCAGCACCACCAGGCTAAGCCAGGGGATGGAAACCAGGGCAGCTGCGGCTGTATTCAGCCCCAGCATTGTCAGCAGCTGTAAGCCGCCTGGGGTGCTGGGCTGCTTCTGCCTTCTGACAGTGGGGGTGGTTTGGGGGCCTCATCTACCCTAGGCAGGGTGGGGGGAATCTATCTTTTCCCCTGATTGGAAATGCTAAGCCCTTGGCACCACAGGCTTGTTTGGACTATTAAGCTGAGCTTGAGCAACGTGGAGATCAAAGAGATAAGACTGCCAACCCAAGGCCTCCCCCTCAACCAGCAGCCACCATCCCCACATAACCAATGCAGTACATGCCCTTCCGCTTTCCTTCAGGTTTAAAGCAGGCCACTACCCAGTCAGAGCAAGCTTCCTCAGTGGGACCCCTTCCATTATAGGAAGGGTTCTGGATTCTCCACTGGGTTTCAGGGCTGTCTACACTGCCCTCCCTGCTTCCAACTCTCCCCAAACTCTTCTCCAGCGCATTCTGTAAAATCCCAGTCTTCGTAAGGCTAATAATAATGGCATCTCCCATTGGCACAGTGCTCTATGGTTACAAGGAGAGGCAGTGTAGTGTAATGAATAGGTATGTGGTAGACTCAGAAATATCTAGGCTAGAATCCTGCTCTGATACTTACTAATTGGCTGACCACGGGCAAAACACTTGATCTCTCCAGGCCTAGGGCAATATTCTTTTTTTAAAAAACTTTTTGTTAGAAACCCAACATTGGAAGCTAAGTCTAGTTTTAAATTCACTAATTTCGATGCCTAAAGGATCAGGCCACTTACAAAGGCTGTGTTGCTGTAGTGAATTGATAGCTGCTGGCTCTGCATTCATGAGGACATGCAGTCATGGGTTTCTGACACACAGTAGCTAGATGTCCTTGGGCAAGTCATTTCCAACTTTCACTGAGCCCTAGGCAACTAAGTTTCTAAGAGTTACAGAAAACTTACCCATCTGGTATCTTTAGAGGGAGCTTCCCTACTGGGAGTTCCCCCACAAAGATGAAATGAGGAATCCTAACCATCCCCCAAAACAACAACAAAGAGGTTGGGACTCTGGAGAGTCCCCACAGTGTAAATCACAAGTCCTTTATATATGGCTGCAAAAGGATTTTGGATACATTTTCAAATTTGACACAGCTACTCTGTGATTTATGTGAATACCATTATTCCCATTTCATGGATGAGGAAACTGAGGCCGATCAGTAAAACTGTCTGCCTAACAGGAGGTCACATGGCAGGACTTACGCCCAGCTCTTTTCACTCCAAGCCTGTGGTGCTTTCTATAATACCAGTTTGTTTGTTTGTTTGTTTGTTTTGCTTCCTGGAGACCTGGTACAGACAGCCTGTCAAGAATCAGAAAGTTATAGAAAGCCTGTCACTATTGATGAGTATCCACTCAAGCCTTTTTGGCTGGGTCTCTGCTAAAACATCCACCCATACCTGGAAGCTGGACATTCTCCCTTTATTTTGACCCTCAGCTCTGGGTTTTCATAGTTTCTGGGGGGAGGGGGTGAAGTCAGGATCCACCCGGGTGATCTGGGCTAGATTCTGCAGAGGGACCAAGTCCTCTAGCTAGAAGATGAAGAGAGAAATGCTGGCAAACATGATACCTTTCAAGACAATATTCCTCCTACGGAATCAAGGACTACTACCTTATTTATGGCTTCTCCTCTATGAGTTCAAGTCCCAAATCCCATGACTGTCTCAAATGACTTGCCTTCTCTGAGCCTCAGTTTCTCATTTGTAGAATGGGGAGATTCATGCTGAGACTACCTACCTTCCGCAGTGGTTAAGAAAGTGCCATTTGTAACCCTTAAGGTGACATATAACATAAATTTATTAATAGCAGTAGTATCACTATTGATATTCCCATGGGTAAGCCAAGATGGAAACCTCTCAAGTGACCAAGGGTACCAGTGCATCATACTCCAAATTCAGCAGTGCAAAGAAGGAAAATAGTCTGTCCCAAGCACATATGACTGACTGCCCAACCTTTAGCAACCAGTCCTGGAGAGGTGCAGATCCCTCCCCAAGGAAAGGCTCCCAGAAGGGACCGTTTCCCAGTCAGGAGCCAGGCTTCTTTGGCTTGCCTGGAGACGAGAAGTAAGAGAAAAAATGCAATACAAAGGAGTACATGATTTATCTTTATGCACCTAAGCCATATAAATATAGCATGTGGGCTGTTTTCAATGGTTCATTTTTAACTGTGAGCTGTCAAAAGGCCCATAACTGAAAAAGAAGTGATATCTGTCAGTTCATCTCTACTACTGCTACCAGCAGAAACCTACAGACTTAGACATGGAAGTCTCTGCAGCCCCAGACTTCTGGGTCACGAGCCTATATCACTCTTCATAACCTGTTAGAATGTCTGAAATCAAGGGAGCTGGGGCCAAGGTTCTGGTTCTGCTACTTGCTAGCAGTGTGAACTTAGACCAGTCGCTCAGTCTCTCCAGGCCTCAATTTCCTCATCTGCAAAATGAGGCCAGTAATATTTGCACTGCCAACCTCACAGGACTGGAGAGAAGTTACAACTAAACCTCAAAGGGCTGCATAAATTCGAGTGGTGGTTAGCCTGAAACATTCTGTTTCAACACCTGATCTGGGAGCCACGACTAGCCATCCTGGTAGGATGGAGAGAACAAAAGGGAATTCTGGGACAAGGGGACAGAGCCCGGACCACAACACTTAACCATATCTCCTGGGCTTTTCATCACTGACTCACGTGGAGGACAATAAACAGGAATCTAGAAAAAGTAACAGAGAAGTTTGGCTCCTATTTTGGAGAGCAGAGACAATTCCATCGAACCCCCTAGTGGCCCAGAGACAGGCAAAGACCACATCACCAAAAAGAGCCTTCAAGTTCCTCAAACTGGCCTTGATCTTTTTTCTTTCGTCACGTGCCCCGGTCCCTCTTTAATAGGATCAGCCTCCCCCCAAACCTGCTCCTATCCCCGAATCCCGGGGCCTCTTCCCCCAACCAGAGTTCTCCTTCCTGATCCTGCTGTGAGGTCACAATCCTATGCTTACGACATCACAGTCTGTTGCCATGGAAACAAGGGCGAATTAAGGCAGGATCCTGCGAGCTCACGGATCAGGCCCCTCTCTCGCTACCTGAGCCTCTCGACTCAGCCTTTGTCCCAGAGGACGCGCGATGGATCTGCCGGGCGCCTGGGCCTGCCGGCTTGCTGGATGGGGTGGGGGAGCGGAGTGCAGGGATGATGCTGAGAACAAGGGAGCCGAGGATGCCTCGGGGGTGGTCCCAGAAGAGCTCATCAGCACCCCGAGATCCGGGCAGGGGCGGCACGGATCGCTACCCCACGTGGCGGGTGACCGGCCCCAGCTCGGAAGGCGCTGTCTCTCTTCCCCGGGGCCCGGGGGACAGCGCCCCGCTCCCTCGTGACGGCCGCCCAGGAGCGCCAGAGCCACGTGGGGGCGCGGTGGGACTTCCCCAGAAGCGGCGCCAACTTTGCCGCGCCTCTCCGGGCTCCCGAACCGGACTGCCGGGGAGCTATAGAGGCTGCCTGGGGTCCGGCCGCCTCCCGCAGGCGTGAGACCTGCTGGCCAGCTCCCGCCCGTTTCCCCTAGCCAGCTCCTGCGCTCTCCGTTCCATCAATCGCCACACCCCAGCCCTTCCCTGGCCTCCAGTCGGGGCACACACCCTTAGCTCAGTCCTGCCGGGGGCTGCAGCAAAGTTTGAGGGGCAAGAGGGACAGTGCGGCCACTACGCCTTCATCCCCTAGTTCGGGGCCCAACTCTGCTTGCTTCCCGGGAGAATAAAGTAGGACGGGAATGGGGAGAGGAGGCCAAAGACCGGGCAACCGGCATGGGGCAGAGGCAGGGGTGGGTGGGCCGGGCAGAATTCCGAGAGACCTTCAGAGGCTCAGCTTGGAGGGACAGCAACTGCTGCACGGGAGCCAGGGTCCGAGCACAGCCGCCTGGGGTAAGCGGCTGCGGCTCCCAGTGCGGGAAGATCCAGTCTACAAGGGCAGAACTTTGAGGGAATGAAAAGCTCCTCCGCTTCTACTCGAATGACTGGTTCCTGCCCCACTTCGGGCAGCTAGTCCTCAGGAACCCACTGACTCCGAGATCAGTAGCTCGGAGGACCAGCCTTCCTGGGCACTGGCCCTGGCTAACCCTGGGGCTATTCTCCCCGTAAGTTCCAGCGGCAGCCAGTACCAGCGCCTCCCACATTTCGGCACTACCTCGACCTACCCGCGGTCCCCTCACTGCCCGTTGCAGGAGTCCTCCCGCAGCAAACCCATTCCAGCGCGGCGGAGCCCAAGTTCCCCCTGCGGCTCAAACTCACCTTTCGCGAGCATCTTGGTCGCGGGGCCGCCGCTCTGTCAGAGGCCGGAGATGGGGCGGTCCCACGCGGGGTCCAGCTTCAGATCCCTGGGTGTGAGCTGCAGCTAATCCGAGGGCGCGGAGCGGGGGGCGCCCCGGCGACCTGCTCCTGCCCAGCGCCCCGACTCCACAGGGGCATCCTGAGCCCCAACCTCGCGCCGCCGCTGCTGCCGCTTCTTCTGCAGCCGAGGGGATAGCTGCCCCGCGGTCAAGTGCTGCGGCAGCTCGGCACTGCCTTGCACTGCCCTGCCCTGCCCTGCCCTGCCCTGCCCTGCCCTGTCCCGGCCCAAATGAGGGGCGGCCGCTAGCGCTCGGCCGGGGCGAGTCCGCTGGAGGTGCCTTGGGCCGGGCTGGGAGCTGCTCCTGCCCAGGAACCGGAGGCGGCAGCGACGACGGCGTTCTCTTACTCTCTCGCTTCTCCCGCGCCTCTGCCGGCTGGAGCACTTTGGCGGCGATTTTGAGGGGAGAAGCCGCCCCCCTGGCCTGTGGGCCACGGCCCCCTCCCTCCCCGCCCCCTCGGGTTGCTGCTGCAAATGGGCGCTTGCCCCAGAGCTCGCAGGAAAGAGCCCTTTGAGCGTTTGCAGGACACGGAGGAGCCGCGGAACGGGGCGCCTCCCTTCCTCCCCCCGCCTCCCCCACCTCTCCTTCACTCCCCTCCCTTTTCTCCCTCCCTCCCCTCCCGCCTTCTCCTCTCCGCTCCCCGCCCCCGCTCACGGAGCGCCTCCCATACAAAATTTATGAAAGTGCGCTCTGCTCGCGGTGCCCAAGCGCCGTCCTATTCCCTGGGCAGCTGCGCTCAGCCGCTCGGCGCCTCCCAAGGTGTTTCTGCTCCACCCGTCCCGATAGCCACGCCGTGCCCTGGGGGCTTGGGGCCACCTTCCCAGCTGGCCCCGTTGTGCCCTCCCTCCAGTAGCCTTGACCCTGACTCTGCCCCCTCCCTGCCTTGGCCCCTTTCTGACCCTTCGCCCCTCCTCCCCAGGGACTTCAAAGGCGGCAGGACAGCACAGCCTCTACGCCGGCCCCTCGATTTTGGAGGTCACGGGGAGAAATGGGCCGGGAACCGAGAATGGCACATTCCGCAGGCAGTGGGGGATGGGGGAAGTGGGGGGAGGAGATCCCAACTCCTCTTCCTGCCCCCCACCCAATCTAAAGCCCATTCAAGTCCAGCCCCTACCCTCCAGGAAGCTCGGCCCTGGAGCTAACCCGCTGGGGTCCCTACTTCCTCTGCTCCCCCTTTCTCCTCATTCCCGGGAGAGGGGGGGAGGATTGTCTCAGACATGGTCTCTTATGTGGACGTCAGCAGGTGCAGGTCTTTTCCAGGACCACTATATCTCCTCCTCCCACACGCACATAGACACACTCAAGCCCCAGCCCGGAGAGTCTCCTAAATGGACAAAGTGGTTGATATCACCCGGGCAGAATGAACCTTTGCAGTTCAACAGAGGCATTTGGGGAGACCCAACCCCAGACCTCCGCCAAGGTCCTGGGGAGGAGCGAGTGAAAGAGAGACCACTGGTCAGAACCCACCCCACCAGCCCCATTTGAGCCTAGGGGAGGGGCCCTCCTCTCTGGGGCTGGGCACACCGATAAGACCTTGCCGCTGTTACCTTGGCACTTGGGGACTTGTCTACGAAGCGCAAGTCTTTCTCCCTAAAGCCTAGAGAATGGACTGGAGAGAGGCGCAGAAGGGGTGTGGGCTGAGTAAAGTGGGCGCACGCTGGGATGTGTGGCGAAGACCGTGGGAGAAGGAGCCTGGGAGTCCTCAAAGTCAGGTTCTGTTCTAGCCTTCACGTGTGTGACCTTGGCCAAGTCATTTGTCCCCCCTCCCACCCTATTAACCCCATTCGGTGCATTCCTCTGTAAAATGAGTTTGAATTCGATGACCTATAAACTCCCTTTCAGCTCTGATAGTCCATGGTTCTAGAGTGTCGGGCTGGGAAGCTGCCCCCCTCCACTGGTGGATGTAGGGAAAACTAAGAGCTTGGGCAAGGCTAGGGAGGGAGACGAGGACTATAGCATGGAGCGGGGCGGGGCGGGGACTGATGACCGAGGGGCTTTCAAAAGCTGCCTGCTGTGGAAACTAGATCCTAGGTGGGTTTATTCTAGCACCGTTCCTCGGTCTCTTTCCAACCTATTCCCTAGTCAGCCCGGGTTTCAGATCCTTCGTATGCGGTGGAGGTAAAAGAGGAAGTTTAGGGGGAAGGAAAGACCCCCAGGACGAAGTCCAGCAAGGAGACTGGGCCTCCTCAGCTCCCGATCCGGGAACGCAGGCCGGTACAGGAGAGGAAAAGAGGGGACACTGGAACCAATTGTGTACAGGTTCTCTCTGGGTCAGCTCAGAGCCGGCCTGGTTTGGACAGCTCCTTACAATCTCCCGGCAGCTACCGGAGGGGGTGCGGTTAGTGGGTACACAAACTCTTCCCTGGCAAAGGCAGCTGCTGGGTCCTCACTGGCTTTTGCTGGAGAGCGTGGGGGACGGAGTTATTTTGGTCCCCACGCGAGCTGGGAGCGGCTGTGGAGTCCGGGCCCGGGCAGGGACGGGGGTGGCGCGGAGGCGGGCGTTGTGGTGTAAGATGGGGGAGAGCTAGTTGAGTTGTCCCCTAGGTACTGCAATTACTCAGGCCAGTGAGTAATTCGGCCCAAAAAGCCCCCGCGGGGAAATGGTTGGGCTGAGTGTATGTAGGGGGAGGGGGGCGATAAGTGTGATCTGCTGACGGCGGAGCTCAGGAGTATGGAGGGTGGAGAGGCACCCTGTAGGCTCCAGCTGAGAAAAATTCTGGGGTCCCCATCACCGCTTCTCGACCTGAGTTGAGACCAACCGATCTCAGTCTCGCTGCGGCTCAGGGATCGCCAGGGATCTCAGGTGCTTCCGACCAGACATAGAGACGAGTAAGGACAAAGAGTGACTAGCAAGGCCGTTTAGAAGTCCGAACTTCATTCCTGCCTGGCCTCTGAGGCCACCGGGTCACTCTTTGGAAATAAGGAAAGTGAGGAGATGCTCACTGGGAAGTTTCACAGAGGGATCCAATTCGCAGGCCAGGATGGGTTCCTTTGAGATGCCTTAGCATTTGCATCTGATGTCAAGAACAGGCCTCAGATTTGAGACAGGAGCCAGGCCCAGAGACAAATTTTCACCTGGACTTCGAACCACTGCTAGGGCCCTCAGGACGGCATCTACCCACAGGAGCCTGGGCTTTGAACGGCACGTCCTCCGGAGTTAGGGGGGGAAGGGGACAGACGCAGACCCACAGAGTAGGTCCAGGTTGAAAGAAAGCAGAAAGCACAAAGGTTTAGGCTCCTGCCCCGGGATGGGAAGGCTTTTTGCCATCCATAAACCTGGTTAGACAGAAGACTAATCTGACTGAAAAAACAGGTGACAGAATCACATTAATGGGAATGAGACATAACCAGCCAGCAGACAGGCCATGTGTATTCATTGGAATCCATGCAATGCCAAGAAATCTTGAGGGAGAGGCAACAGGAATGATAGAACAACGATCAAAGGAAGCCTTGGTTCAAATCCTGCTTCGGATACCCACCAGTTGGGTGACCTGAGGCCAGTCATTTAACATTCCCTCCATCTATTTCCGTTAACTCCATTTATTTCCGCATTTGAAAAATGGAATAATATCTTGTAATGCCTACCTCTCAGGGTGGTTGTGAGAGCCGACAGATAATGCCTGGGAGTGCTTTCCCTATCTCCGTGGTATCTATCTTGTATGTCCCTAATGCGTCCACGTTGTCTCTCTTCCCCCCACCCCCCACTCCTGCCCCTTAAAAGGTATTGTACCTCCTTGGTATCTATCTTGTATATCCTATATGTCCACGTTGTCTTCCCCCTCCCCCATTAAAAGGTAAGCTTTTCGAGAGAAGGGCTTTTCCCCCTTTTGTTTTCTATCCCCAGTGCTTAAGCACAGGTTTGGGAACACAGTAAGCGGTTAATAAGTGCTGCTGCTTGGTTGAGAGGAGCTTTTGGAGATGAGAGCACAGACATGCAGGATGAGAGGGCATGGAGGAGTGCAGTCTGCCCTGTTGGAGGGAGTCGCTGATATTACGGCGGATTCTTCAAAGGGTGACTGAGCCAGACTAAGCAGAGGAGGGCTTGGGCCCCTTCACCCCGATTCCCGCCCTGCGGCCAGCTAGTTGCTAGTCCTCCCCATCCTGTGCTTTCTTTCGCTGCCTCCCGGGCAGGGCCTAGACCCAATCTCTTGTTTTCTCCTTCTCTCCGGCACCTTAATTAGGGGTTTCTAAGCAGAGAGGGCCTCCGGGGGGAGCCTGAGGCCGCTTGGCTTCGGGGAGTTCCGCTTAAAGGGCCAGAAGCCTGGATTAGTTTAGGGAGGGGGAGGAGCCAGGGGAGGCCTGGTTGGGAGTTGGTAGAACAAAGCAGCCCAGAAAGCTAGGGCATTTAAATTATTGCAGGCTGTGCTGGGAGCAGCGCCCAAGGGGCTGGGCTGGCCGGGGCGCTCTGATTCTCCAGACTGACCCAGCCTTTCATGATGCTGTGTCCAATACTCAAACCAGACCAAGGACAAAATAGCCTGGTCAGAGCAAGAGAAACGCTGGCTGGTTCCGGCTCCAGCCGCAGCGCCCCCCCCCGCCCCCCCCCCCCCCCCCCCCCGCCTCCAGTTCAAACCTTAGCCAGCTCCCAGGGACCTTGGGCCCTCAGACACCGAAGACCCTTTAGCCCCTCGATCCAGGAAAGTAGCCTCGGATTCAGGTCTAAGGTCACTTATTTGAAGAACTTAGAGGCTCCTGCACATTGGCAAAGGCGGTCCTCAGGCTCCCCTTAAATCCGGAGGGTAGAAAGCCGCCCTTTGGCCGGACTTTCCTGCCTGATCTCCAAACTAGGTCTGTGGAGCTACACGTGTTGTGACATTAAGTGTGACCCTCCAGAGCTAGACCGGCCCCCTGTGCTGACCTCGGTCCAGTCCAGTCTAGCTAATGTTGGACCCTGTGCTGGGCCAATGGAGGCACCAAGCTGGTTTCAGCAAAGCAGCCCCTGCCCACCTGGAGCTGACAGTCCACTGGGAGAGGGCGGGGCTGTGGGAGGGTCTGTCCTATGGAGGGGAGGGGCGAGGAAAGACACCCCAGCCTCCTCCTCCTCCTTTTCCTCCGCCCGCTGGACTTCAGGTGGTAGGAGAAGGAACTTGGGCTGGGCCGCGCGCCAAGGGTCCGAGGTCGGGCGCGGCGCTTCGGAGGCAAGACACGCCCTCCCATATTTCCATTCCCCACCCTCTCAATCCCCGCCCCGCCCCCTCCCAGGAGCTGCTCGGCGATCAATTGGCGATGCCTGCGGTCTCGGCTGCTCGGGTTCTTCTAGCGCTGCCTTTTGGGTCCCCACGTGGGGGAGCTGACGATGGCGGCCTTGGCCGAGCCGGAGGCCAGCAGCCCGGGAGGCCGGGGCGGCCCCGGCAAAGGTAGGTGCGGCGGCTTCACTCCGGGCCCGGCGCTGCCTCCCTCCTGCGGCGGTGGTCCTCCTCCTTCTCTTATCTCCCTCTCCGTACCCGGGCCTCTCCGGGGCCGCCCGCCAGGTGCTCCGGTGCCGCTCCGTTTGCCCTCCCGTGGTGGGCGGAGAAGACGCTCGCCTCGGGTCTGAGGCACCCGCAGGCCTGAGCAGAGGACGTGGAGAGGCTGGAACCTGGGTCCCGCGACCCCTTAGTGCCTTCGAGACCTCGGGCACGTCGCGGCGCTTCCGGGGCTCCATTTTCCCCATCTGCAAAATAGAGTCTGCGGTCAGAAAGACCCGAGTTCAAATCCGACCTCAAACACCAGCTGGGCAAGTCACCGAACCTCCACCTTCCTCAGTTTCCCCATCTGTAAAATGGGGCTGATAATGTAGCACCTACCCTGCCGGGTTGTCGTGAGCATAAAAATGAGACATAAAGTGAGTTTAGCACATAGTAGGCTTACCTCTCCTCCATGAAACGACTCCTTGATTTTTGAGGTCCCTTTCAGAATCTGTGAAAACCCAAAGATGGGGGGGGGGATCGTCAATCCCCAGACCCTCCCCCCACAACAAACCTCCAAATACTCAAAGAAACCACTTTTAGGGGGGTTTCCAGACCTAGGACCCCAGCTCTATTGCTCACTTGGGGTACCCTACCTGGAGGTCCCAGTGCTTTGGGATCCCTGGTGTAATCTTCGCATCCTGGCTGCAATGGAAGTGGAGTCAGGAAGACCTGGATTCAAATCTTGTCATATGTGACTGAGCAAGTCACTTGGCTCCTTGGGTTTCAGACTCGTGTCTGAAGTTACAGACGGGTTGCCTGCCCTGATCAGGACATATCCATGGCTTCCCAGATTGGGGATCAGGCAGAGTTTGACCTCCCAGATGTTCCTCTTCTGGGCAAGCTCCTCCCTTCCCAAAGGCCTGAGGGTCCTCAGCTTTTTGGGACTCTGCTCTGGGCCTTCTATTCTATGCTACAGGGAGCCATATGCTTGAAACTCAGTTTCTAATGATGGAATCTTTTAGGCATCACCCCCAGGCCAGTCATTGAGACAGAGTTATGGGGGAGAAGGGGAAAGTGAGATTTCTCTAACGTTTTCCCCATACAACTGTCCAGTTATAATATATCTACCTATTCTATCACCAGATAAAGCTGGCCTCCGGCTTGGGGAATCTGTCTCTGATCATCTATAACCTGTCCCGAATTCCTGCCAAGCCCAAGGGAATGGGGTGTCTGGGTGGGCTGTTGTCTTTTAGTATCTGTGTGAACCCCCCAGTCAAATTGGCTAGCTTTTCTAAGCCTCAGTTTTCTCCTATGTGTTCAGTTGTTTTTAAGTCATGTCTGACTCTGTGACCTGATTTGGGGTTTTCTTGGTACAGATACAAAAGTGGTTTTAGCCATTTCCTTCTGCAGCTCATTTTACAGATGAGGAAACTGAGGCAAACAGGGTGAAGTGACTTGCC